GCAAGGACCTGAGGACCCCTGCTGACAGCCATGTGAGTGAACCATCTTGGTGACAGATCTCTCAGCCTTCTGCAAGCCTTCAGATGACTGCAGCCCCAGATAGCATCATTTTCCAGCTAGACTGCTCCCAAGTTCCTGGACCACAGAAATTGTGAGATAATAAATTCTTGTCGTTTTAAGTTGCTAAATTTGGGAGAGGTTTGGTGTGCAGCAATAGATAAGTAATACCTGTCTTAATATGCATATAAATATGAATACCTAATTTTGGGGGGAACACTTAGATCCTTCTCTAAGCGTTCTATGTGAAATAACTCATTTAATCCTCACAACAAACGTATAAGGTAGGTAATATTACTCTGCATTTTGCAGATCAGGAAACCGAGGCACAAAGAAACTGAGAAACTTGTCCAAGGTTAGCCAGCTAATGACAGAACTAGGATTTGAACTCTGACCGTTTGGCTCTACTATTCTGTGCACTGACTTCTGTGTTACACTGTTATAATGGTGCTAGTGCCACTGAGAAGCACACTATAATGAAATAACAAGCAACAGGCTTAATTTTCATAATAGAAGGTGTACATAAGGTATAAAGAAACTTTTCTAAAAATTTAAAAGTGTTGGGGGACCATTAGAAGGAGGCCAAAGGCCCCAAGATGCATTATATGACCTCTCAAGTCTGATTCCAATTCTATGACATAATAAATATACCTTCTAAGATACAACATGATTTAGTAACTCTACTTGGAAATATTGGAGTGCAGTTGGATTTATAGCATTCTTTAATTTTATTTTATATTTGATAAAAATTAATATGATGTGTTCATCTTGAATTCCATTGTGCGAGGTTGGGGAAAAATGCATACGTACTGCCCTTTTCATTTATTTTGGACTGCTACAGAAACCTACATCTAGTTTTAATACTTTCCCTTCTTAATTATAATATTCACATAATTAATATATGTATAAATAAATGATGGTAGAAAAAATTAAACTCCTGTTATTGTGTTTCTTCTTTTTTGTATTTCCTTCAAAATGTCATTTTACGTTTTGATGCATCTCAAAGAAATTTTTAATTTCCAAATCAGCAGGGACTGGGTTTATAATTTATCCTTTAAGCATCTAATATAGTATGTGTAAAGTTGTTCATTAATAATTAGGTTGGTGTATTTTAATTCAATAAATTCACAAATATTCTAGGTGGCAAATATAGTTCTCTCCTAATTTATAGAAGTAAAAAGCCTGGCAAGATCACCTTAAGGTGGGGAATTCGCTGGTGGTCCAGTGGTCAGGACTCCTTGCTCTCACTGCCTTGGGCCTGGGTTGGATCCCTGGTCAGGGAACTAAGATCCCTCATGCCACACGTCATGGCCAAAAAAAAAAAAAAAAAAAAAAAGATCACCTTAAGGTCTTTAAATAAGTGTTACCTCCTCAGTGAGGCCTTTCCTAAACACCTTCCCAACAGATTGCTGTTTTGTTTTGTTTTGTTTTTCTTTTCCTAGACGCTATCACCATCTAGTAAACAGAGCATATATTTTTGCATATTTATTTTGTTTATTTTCTGTCTTCTGGCAGTAGAATGTAAGCTTCATGAGGGCAGGATTTTTGTATGTTTTGCATGCTGTAGACTCAATATCTAGACTAATGCCTGCTATACAACAGGTGTTTGATAAGTATTTGTTGAGAATAAATGAATGCAAAAGAACCAGCAGATTGGGTATGTGTCTCCCAACTAATGTTCATGATAATTACTATTTATTGAATATTATCTTAGTAGATTATCATATTGATCTGGGATGATTGGTATTGATACTATTACTGTTTTCCAGATGTTGTAATTAAGTAACATACTCAAGGTTATGCAAAAATTAAGCAGCAGAGGGACTTCCCCAGTGCCACAGTGGTTAAGACTACACGCTCTCAATGCAGGGGGCCGGGGTTCAATCCCTGGTCAGGGAACTAGATCCCACATGCATGCCGCAACTAAGAGTTTGCATGCCACAACTAAGGAGCTGGCAAGCCGCAACTAAGGAGCCTGCCTGCCGCAAGTAAGACCAAGCGCGACCAAAAAAAAAAAAAAAAAAAAGCCACTAAGCAGCAGAAATTGGTTTCAACATTAAGCTGAGAAAGAAGCCAGTCACAAGGCCACAATGGTAGGATTGCATTTTTATGATCTGTCCAGAATAGGCAAGTCTATAGAGACAGAAGGGAGATGGTTGGCCAGGGCTTAGGCAAAGGGAGGTTGGGGGAAATGGGGGGTGACAACTAATGGGTATGGAGATTCTTTTAGGGGTGACAAAAATGTTTTGAAATTAGATTGTGGTGGTGGTTTCATAGCCATGTGAATATATTAAAAACCATTGAATTTTGTACTTCAAATGGGTGAATTGTGTGGTGTGTGAGTTATATCTTAAGCTGTTAAAAATAGTAAAGGAAAATGGTTTCAAACTCAGATTTCTTTGGCTTCAAAGCTTCTGATCAACTTTTAGAAGGAGCAAAAACAGGAGAAATGGCTTGTTCTAAGACTCAGTTAGGGAAAGCACAAGGTTTCCTGGAATATCTTGTGCCAGGAAGTAAAGAGGTGCTCAAAAATGGATTGGGACATGTCCAAAGACACTGCAAGTTGAAAGCATCTTCCCTGGTCAAATGTGGGACAATTCAAGAATCAAAACTCAAAGTGACAGTGTTTACTGTCAATATTGATACTAAAGACAAAAAACCCCACAAAAATCAAGCCCCAAATAAACAGAAAACAAAGGGGTGGCAGGAGAAATGAAAGCTCACCTAATTAACATAGTTGGAAGAGATGGAAGGATAGGATTATATTGTCATTATTCTCCAACCACTATAGTAATACTTGATTCAAGCAAACATGGACGGATGCTAGCCCATGGAGTGAAGGATTCTTGGGGGAGGATACTCACACAATCTCAAAGTATTACCCCACAGGTTACTTTTTTAAAAAATTAAGGTGAAATTCATCTAACATGTTAATCATTTTAGAGAGAAGAATTCAGTAGCATTTAGTACATTTCCAGTATTGTGCCACCACCAGCTCTACCGAGCTCCAAAACATTTTCATTGGTACAAAATAGAACCCCTTATCCATTAAGCAGTTGCTCCTTATCTCCCCTCCCCCCAGCCATGGGCCACCACTAACCTGCTTTCTATGGATTGGCTTATTCTGGATGTTTCATATAAATGGAATAGAACAATAGATGACCTTTTGTGTCTGGCTTCTTTCACTTCGCATAAGGTTTTTGAGGTTCATCCATATTGTAGCACCTATCATTACTTCATTCCTTTTTATGGCTGAAAAATATTTCTTTGTATGTCTATACCACAGTTTGTTTATACATTGGTGGATATTTGTTTCTAAACTTTTGGCTAGTATGATTAGTGATGCTATGAACATTTGGGTACAAGGATTTGAGTACCTGTTTTCAATTCTTTTGGATATACACCTAGGAGTGGAACTGCTGATAATTCCATGTTCAGGTTTTGGAGGAATTGTGGAACTGTTTTCCACAGTGATTGCACCATTTTACATTCCCAGCAGTAATGTATGAGTATTCCAATGTCTCTAAATCCTCACTAACTCTTATTTTTCATTAAAAAAAAAATTATAGCCATCCTAGTAGGTGTGAAGTGATATCTCATTTTGGTTTTGCTTTGCATTTCTCTAATGATGCTGGGCATCTTTTCATGTACCTGTTGGCCATTTGTATATCTTCTTTGGAGAAATGTCTGTTCAAGTCTTTTGCCCATTTTTTGCACAGACTACTTTTTAAATACAAAGGAAAAAAGGTACCTTTACCATGGAGAAATGATTACATATAACATCACCAATAATAGTACAAACTGACATCGTATCCCTCTTGATGCAGCATACTATGATGAACACAACCTCATCTATACAGTGTACATGACAAAATTATTTAACTTGAATCTAATAGGGAACAGATGAATACGAACTGAGGAACATTCTGCAAACAGAATTGAATTCTTCAAAAAAATGAATGTTACAAAAGAAAAAAACGGGTTATTCTAGAGTAAAGGAGCTTAAAAAGACATGACAATTAAATGCAATGCATGATCCTTGATTGTATTCCGGATTGAGAAAAAAGTCAGCTAAAAAGGACATTTCGAAAATTTGAATATGGCCGCTGTATGTTACAGATAATAGTAAAATGATATGAAATTTTCTTGGATAATGGAATTCTGATTATATAGGAGAGTATCTTTGTTCTTAGTAGATACTTAAAGAAGTACTTAGGGGTAAAGGGTAAAAGCCTGCAAAAAACTCAAATGATTGATCATAAACGAAACAAAACCAAAAACCCGTACACACGGGGAAGGCAAATGTGGTGAAATATTCAAAATTGGTGAATATGGGGTAATATGGGTGTCCACTGTATTTTTCTCATAACTTTTCTGTACGTTTGATATGTTTGAAAATAAAAAAATCGAGAAAGTAAAAAGCTCTTCAAGTTCAAGCAGCACTGTTCTAGTGGGTTTAGGATCTTTATAGTAAGGTTAGCTACTCTGATCAGTTAAGAATATCGTTGAGAGGGTAAATGGTCAGGATGAATAATTTTCAAAAATATTATAATTATTTAAATAAATAACGGATCACTGCAGTTATTTTATCCCCCAATCAACTTGATTAGAGTCAGGTAGGCCTAAATTTGAATCATTGCTGGGTAAACTGTTAAACCTCTTCAGGACTCAGTTTCCTCTTTGTAAGAAATAACTCCTTGGTGGGTTGTTGTGCTAGATTGTTAGACACATGGAATTTATTGAACTGGACCTTAATTCATGTGCAAAAGCTTAATCCTACTATCTGTGCTATTTGCATCTTTTCCTTCATTACACTCAAGCAATCCTGTGGGGTAGATAAAGGTGAGAGATAAGATGACTTTTCCAAGGTCACACGGCTAGTGAAAGACCCAGGTTTCCCAGCTCTTGGTCCTGTGCCCTTTCCACACCCGCCAGAGAGGAAGCGGCGCTCATGGGGATGCAAGGATGTAGAGGAGCAAAGGGGGAGAAGAGGCCCCGTGAGGAGAGGTGGTGTGAGACCCGCGGAGGCGCCGGCCAAGGAAGGGCGCATGGAGAAGCGGGCGGCGCGACCCGCCGGGGTGGGTAGGAGAGAGGCTGGAGAGGGAGGGTCGCGCAGGCCGCGTGCCCAGGAGGGACGGGAGGCCTGGGCCAGCCGCAGGGGCGCAGGAGGCGGAGGCCCGGGCTGCAGGCTGGGGTGGAGGAGGCATGGGAGGGAGTGGCGGTGGTCGTGGGGGGGGTCACTTCCGCACAGGTGGGCTAGGCGGGGGGGTGCGGGCGCGCGGGCGGGGCCGGCACGGGGGTCTCAACCCTACCGGGCGGGGGGGTTGCGGGCGGGCGGGCGGGCGGGGCGGGGCGGGGGCGGGGCCGGCCGGGGGCGGGTTTTGCCGGGCCCCCCGCGGGAGCGGCGGCTGCGGCGGCGGCGCAGGCGCGGTTCCCGCCTCCTCCCGGCCGGCGGAGTGAGTGGAGGCTGCAGCTCGGCTCGGCTCGGCTCCCGCGACGCTGCTGCCGGTGCAGCTGCTGCCGCCGCTGCCGCGAAGCCCCCCGCCCCACTTCCCCCGCGTCGGGATGAGCTCCCGGAAAGGTGAGTGGCCCGCGGCGTCCCCTTCTCCCCGCCACGCGGCCCCGCGCCGGCCTGCCCGACCGTTAATGTGTGTCTTCTTTCCTCAGTGCTGGCCATTCAGGCCCGAAAGCGGAGGCCGAAAAGAGAGAAACATCCGAAAAAGTGAGTCCACGCCGCGCTAGCCCCCGGACCCCCGCCTCCGCCCGGTCGGGGTTAGCCCGAGACCGCGCAGGGGAAAGTTGCCCGGATTCCCGGGGCGGGCGGGCGGGTGAGCTGATCCCCCGGGACGCCGGCTCTCGCCTCCTGCGCGCCCCGCGGGCGGCCCGGGGGGAGGGGCGGGGGGAGGGGCGCGCGCGAGCCCGCGGCCGGCCCGCCGAGCATCCCCTGACCCCGGGCCCCTGGGGCCCCCAGTCTCCGCGGCCGTTGGGGGCGGACGGGGAAGGAAGCGCCGGGCGTGCGCACCCTCCCCTGCGCGCCGAGGTGACCCGGGGGTCCCGGGCCTTCCTGGGAGAGAAGCTGGCGCCCGCTGCCCGGGCCCCGGCGCCGCGTGCGGGCGTGAGGCTGCGGTATCGCTCCCACCTGGGCGCCGAGGCCCTAGAGGAAGAGGAGCCGAGTGTGAGAGGGAGGGAGAGAGACAGTGTGTATGTGTGTGTGTGTTGCCTCCTCTTCCTCTCCGGCCCCCGCCTCTCGGCCTTTCTGCTGAAAACCGGAGCTGGTTGTCAAGTGGTTTGCCTCGGGCGTGTTCCTGGCACGAGTTCAAGCTCTGAAACCTGTGCGTTTCGGCGCTTGGTTTTTTTTCCGAAACTTTCTGCCCGGGCCGAGCGTGACTTCGCTGCGACGCGGCTGCGCCCGGGTCTCGGGCTGCGCGGGGCGGGTGGGCGTGTGCGCGGGCGGTCCTCGGCGCGGCTGCCCAGCGTCTCATTGTGCCGGGAGGCGATGAATAGGGTGGTGATATTTGAAACATGCCAGCCGCCAGCCACCTCCAGCCTGGCCGCGGACCGGAGTGGGAGCGGCCGGCGCCCGGGAAGCCTTTCCTGGAGAGTGGCTCCGAGACCGCAGAGCGCCGCCGCGTCTCCTTTCCCTTTCTTTCCTAATTTTGAAGAATCTACCAGCGTAGATTACTCCTCCTCCTAGACTTGTGGCTTCACTCTTCCATTTGAGAAAGAAATAACTCTGTGGTATATATTTGGTATTATGGGGATCGTCCGTGATCATCTTTAAATAAAATCACGAAGCATTTTTGGTTGGTTTGTTTTCTTTGGGGGACTAGGCTGCAGCATTCCTAGGCTTTTTCCCTTCTTCGCTTTGGTCTCAGCCTGGCGAATTTCATAACCGTTGGTGGCGTCTATGAAAACTGCCTAAGTCATTACTAATGTGATGTATCATGACAGGATTTGTGTTCATTCAAACCGGAATATAACTTGAAACTATGTTAAGGATTTCACAAAATGTAGATACCGACATAATAAAGCCTTTCTTAAAAAAACAATTAAAAAAAAACTACTAGAGCGAGGGAAAAATATTTATTAAGGGCTTGACCTGGTGGGTAAAAATTAGATGTTGGAGTCTTAAGATGTTAAATCTCAATGGATATTTGTTAGTTTTAGATGCTTTAAAAATTAATACTAGTAATCAGAACCTTATATTTGGTATTTCCTTTGGTGAATGACGGAAATTTAGTCCATAAGTAAGGAGAACTGTAATGTTTAGGCTCCTGAGTTGGGTCACAACTTTCAGTTCAAAACATTTATTCCCACATAGCCCATTTTGTTAAGAAAAGTTAGAAGGAGTTGAAAAAAGCATCCCCCTAGTTTTGGGGATGGCTCTGTGTGTGTGTGTAGGTGGATATATGTAACTGTGTATGTTTTTTATATATATATGTACATGTAGAAAAACAGTTTTAGTTAAAGTCACTGTTTCATATTTTCATATTTCAGGGTATGACTTTCCTAATGGCCAGAGCCTTTTTTGGTGTGCTGCAGTTTGGATTTATGTGGTATGTTTACAGAGAATTAGCATATATCCACAGTATTCAACTTCTACTCTCACAGGTTAATCTATTAGCTTTTTTCGTTGTCTGTTGTACTTATGTGACTAGATTTGACAGAAACCCCTCAGCCAGTGACTAAATGAACTGGTCAGTCTGCAAGGACCAGGAGGAGACCAGCCCCCTTACATAACTGTTTGAGGCAGTTTTTCACTTAATTCTTTGAATCAAGCCAGTATTATTTTAAAGGAATCCTTGATGTGATTGATTTATTCATATATTCAACAAGTGTGTGCATGCCTTTCCTAGGAAATGGTGGTAGAGCTTTGAACAAGGCAAGGCAAGCTCCTCACGAAGCTTACATTCTATGGGGGTTTTGGAACCCTAAAGCGAATGACAAAGAAGGCAGTTCCAGACAGTGCTCAGGGAGAGGGAGAAAATGAAGATGGGGTGCCTTAAGTATAGTGATAGATGACATTTGAAAACCGTGCCAGTCTATTTGCTGCTTGCTTTACATGCGTTTATCCCTTGTGATAATTCTGTGAGGTAGGCACTGTTGTTACCACTTTACAGATGAAATGGGGGTACAGCATGAGTAAGTAACATGTCCAGCTATTAAGTTGAATCTAAGCAGGCTGGGACCAGAATCCACACTCAGTTCTCTGAGGAGGGGACATTTGAACAGAAGTTAGAATAAGGCGGAGGAGATGGGAGTGTGGCAAAGGCCCTGGGGAGGAATGGGCTAGGAATGTTGGAGGAACCCAAAGGTCAGAGTGGCTAGAGTGCTACCCAGGAGGATGGTGAGGGGGGAGGAGTCAGAACGGGTAGGGCCTGGCCTTGTAGGCCGCTGGGAGGCATATGGATGGGAGTGGCAGGATCTGATTCCTGTTTTGAAAAGAGTACTGGCTGTCAATGTAGAGAATGGATTATAGGGGGTGGGGAGAAGTAGAAACCGAGAGCTGGCCTTCCATAGTACGTGGGGAAACCATGATGACTTGACTCTGGGTGCACAGAGTGGCACGGGGGAGAGGTGATGGTAGAGGGACTTCAGGAGACTCATAGCCTCGGAGGTATTCCTCATTTTACAGACAGCTCTAATAGAGGGTAAGGTCACACAACTAGCTTAGTTTGGACCAGAATTCAGGTCTCCTGATGCCCAGTGTTTTTGCTTTTTGATTAATTCTCCAGAGGAGGAAAGAGAGTAATAGATCTAATTTTAAACTATATTAATATAATGACTGGCAGGCTTGCATTATGTGACTACATGGGCCTGGCTTGATGTAATATGATCTACTTTTGTCATATGCTTGTATGTGCAAGTGGCACTTCATTCATTTTAATTCAGTTCAATTCTGTGAGCTTTTGTGAATTGCGCCAGTTCCTATAGGCAGCTTTTTTAGAACACTAGAATTTGTAGTTGTCAGAAATAAGATTAAGATTTCTGAACTGAGATTGTTAGCTTGTCAGATTGTTCCAGTGAGTTTAGTTTGCTAATTATTAATTGTGCTGCTTTGTAACAGGCAGCAGGGAAGAACTAGCAGGGAAGACCTAATTCTTAAGAATTAGCTAAATCACATGGCTTGGGATAGATTTTTGCTTTGGGGCCTGTGCATATGTATAAAATGTTTTAAAGAATTTTTTTGGTTTTTACTGATTTTTTTCCTCACATGTAACTTTTTTCTTGAAACATAATTCACGTACTGTAAAATTGGTTTTTTAAGAATTTAGTTTTTAAAGTGTGTAACTTGCTGTTTTTTTTAGTATATTCACAAAGTTGTGCAGCTGTTATCTAATTCCAGAATATTTTCATCACCCCCCCAAAAAAACCCTGTACTTGTTTGTCATTCTCCATTTCTCCCTTGACCCCAGCATTCATTAATTTATTTTCTCTTTCTATAAACTTATCTATTCTGGATGTTTCATATAAATGGAATCATACAGCATATGATCTTCTGTCTGGTTTCTTTCTCTTAGCATAATGCTTTCAAGGTTCATCCATGTTGTAGTATGTATTGGTACTTCATTCCTTTATATTGCCAAGTAACATTTCATTGTGTTGATATTACTGTGTTGTAGTTATCCATTCATTGATGGACATTTGGGTTCTTTACACTTTTTGGTTATAAATTACTTTTTTAACACCTTTTTTTTTTTAAATCTTTTTTAAAATTTATTTTACTTTATTTTTGGCTGCATTGGGTCTTCGTTGCTGTGCGCGGGCTTTTTCTAGTTGCAGCTAGCGGAGGCTACACTTCGTTGTGGTGCGCTGGCTTCCCATTGCGGTGGCTTCTGTTGTTGCGAAGCACGAGCTCTAGGTGCACGGGCTTCAGTGGTTGTGGCTCGCGGGCTCTAGGCGCGGGGGCTTCAGTAGCTGTGGCGCACGGGCTTACTTTCTCCGCAGCGTGTGGGATCTTCTGGGACCAGGGCTCTAACCCGTGTCCCCTGCCTTGGCAGGCGGATTCTTAACCACTGCACCACCAGGGAAGTCCCTGTTAGCATTCTTTTTTTTGGTTTTTGTTTGTTTGTTTTGCTTTTGCGGTACACGGGCCTCTCACCGCTGTGGCCTCTCCCGTTGCGGAGCACAGGCTCCGGACGCGCAGGCTCAGCGGCCATGGCTCACGGGCGCAGCCACTCCGCGGCAAGTGAGATCTTCCCGGACCGGGGCACGAACCCGTGTCCCCTGCATCGGCAGGCGGACTCTCAACCACTGCGCCACCAGGGAAGCCCCCTGTTAGCATTCTTGTACATGTCCTTTTGTGGACATTAGCACTTATTTCTCTTGGGGATATACTCTAGCAGTGGGATTGCTAGGTTATAGAAGAGGTGTATGCTTAGTCTTAGTAGTAATTGCAGAGATTTTTTTCCCAGTTATATTATGAAATAGTTTTGATTGAACTGCCTTACACTCCCACCTGCAGTGTATGAAGTTTCGATTGTTCCGCATCTTTGTAATACTTGATCATGTCATTCTTTTTAATTTTAGCTCTTCTGGATATGTACTGATACCTTACTGTGGTTTTAATTTGCATTTGCCTGAGTGATGGTTTGGAAGATCTTTTCGTATGTCTATTGGTCATTTGAAATTTTTTATTTTGTGAAGTGCCTGTTTTGTCTTTTGCCCATTTTTAAAAAATCGGATGGTAAGTCTTTTTTCTCACAGAAAATTGAGTTTTGT